TTTAATCAGTTCTTTATGTAATTCGCGACAAATGCTACAGGTTGTATTCATGCTACATCCGCTATACAAGATCGTAAACATGTGACTTTGGACTCGTGTTTCGTTACGAGAATGTTCTTGATTGATATACTATATTACAAGTTGTGGTGGTTTTACTGACAGGGTGACCAAGGGTTTGAACAGAGTCAAGGACAGACGTAGCTACAAATCATAACTGAAATTTTGCACTGCTGTCATTGACGATTAAGTAAAAAAAATAAAAATAAAAACACTATTAATTAAGTACTGGCTCGTAAAGGTTGTCTAGTCAACAGTTTCTAGAATACTTGACATGCCATACAAGTGCATTTATTTTATTTGCTTCCGATAGGCGGTGCAAATACACGTACTTAGGTTATAAGCTCACGACTGATTGTAGTTGTTCAACTACAGGTGGCGCCATTTATTTACTTAGTACTAAACCGCGCGAGGAAGGCCCGGCATGGTTAGGGAGCTTGACTCGCAATGTGTGGGTCGCGGGTTCGAATCCCCGAGGCTTGAACTAAGGCGTGGCCGAATACGCATTAGTTCCCGCGCTATGAGCATTGCATTAAAAACAATAAACACAATTATAAGTTAAAAACGAATGACAGCAATTGACGAATTTAAAGAAACATCGAACGATTGAGATAACCCGATGAGCATTCAGTCTGTATTTTTTTTTTTAACATCGCCCAGTTGTTTATTTTAAACTTAAAATTACGGACTCCATCGGATAATTAAACATATTTTTCTACACAACTCATGCACCAATTCACTTGTGAGACCATGACCTTTATATTACAGGGTCCTTGATAACTTACAAGTCACAAACGAAACGTAAACAAAAACACCATCAGTGTTGTAATTAATCCCACTAATTACTGCTGACGTTTCCCGCGCATTTTGCACACGAGACAAGCGCTTTCATTCAGTTATTTTGGTCAGTTCTTTACACTAAATATTGTGATAAAGAAAAATATAAAATCACCCACGATGAACTTTATGTAAAAATAAGGTTAGTATACTCATCTCGTTGTTAAGCGCAAAGTTACACAATTGTTTATCTGCACTGTACCCAAATAAAGTATTGTCCTCCTCCCCACAAAAAAAAAACAGAAAAAAAAAACAACTCATGATAATAAATAATCGGTGGAAGGGTGAGAGGATGGATTTTTAATTCATTCGGCATTAGAGCTTATATTATTTCTAAGTAGTTTCAGAGTTACAGAAGTGCCCTGGTAGGTCAGCGGTAAGTTTACAGATGTCCTACACTAAAATCTGTTTAGTTTAAGTAGTTTCAGAGTTACAGAAGTGCCCTGGTAGGTCAGCGGTAAGTTTACAGATGTCCTACACTAAAATCTGGGGTTTGATTCTACACAGATAGTTCATCGTGTAGCTTTACGCTAAATATGTTAATTTAAAATTAAAACGTGCTTACACGAAAATTTTAAGCGACATGACAGAGAGAATGTAATTTTACATTCTAAAATTACCCGTCATCAAACATGCTCATCCTATCGGGAAGGAGGTTATAATGTGACGGTTAATCTCAATATTCGTTGATTAGTTGCCTTCCCTCTAGGTTATCACTTCATAACAATCGTTCTAAAATTAACAAAAACACACTACATCGATTAAAAATACGCCATCTACAGAAACTGAGATTGAATTTAGATTAATTCAAATCTGACTGATAAAAAACAAAACAAAACATTCTGTTAATTGTTGCCATAAAGTTTGTTTGTAGTTAAGTACAAAGTTATACAATGGGCTATATGTGCTCGGCCCACCACGGGTATCGAAATCCGGTTCCTAGCGTTGTAAGTCCGCAGACATTCAGTTGTGCCACTGAGGGTCTGCCATAACGTACTGTCTTGTTTTTTTCATTTTCAGATTGTGAATAACAATATGTTCTAACAAAATATCTACTGTTTACTTCTATCATATATTTTTAGGATTATAACAATTTAAAAAATAATAATATTCGGCCTATTGTTCGTAATCGTTATTTAACCAAGTAAATTAATTTAACAATTTTTTAAGTTAACGTTATTTATAGTTTAACGAATTTTAATTATAAGTTTTTCTTTCATTTTAATTCATTTATATTTTGAATATTAATTAATTTTATTGTTATTTTTTTATCAATGTAGAGAAGTCCTGATCAGAATACAGTGTGCAGTCGATCTACACCATGCGGTTGGGGCGTCTATGACGTTCATAGTCGCTTGGTGCAGTTCTACATGAAAGGCCCGTATGTATTTTCATTTCAAATGTATTAATTTATTGCCATCTGTTGGATATTTTCCTAACATCAAATAGATTATTTTGTAATTTGAGGAGAACAAGATGGAAGTAAATTTGTATACTTGCGCCATCTATACATCGCTTTTACAGTTACAATCATCATAAAAACCATTTAAAAATTAATCTTTTGGTAATAGTAATTTGATATTGTAATATTGCAACATACAATGTTATTACCATTTTCGACATAAAAAAAGATTAATACTGCAGAATCGTAATTAGATGCAGCTATTTTTAGCCAGACCACAATTAATTCGATCAATATATATATATAAAAGTTCCAATTTTTTTATTATATTTTATGAGAAAGACAATCTATTACATTAGGCTAAATGAAATTTTGTTATTAAATGTTGTTCAAACGCAGTCTTACTTTAACCCTAAACTGTTTTATGTTTCAGATAATTAAATTTTCTATGTTTTAGAAAGAATTTATCATTTCCTCCGGGCTCGGCATGGCCAGATGGTTAGAGCGCTCGACTCCAATCCCCGTCACACCAAACATGCTATCCCTTTCAGCCGTGGGGGCGTTATAATGTGACGGTCAATCCCACTATTCGTTGGTAAAAGAGTAGCCGAAGAGTTGGCGGTGGGTGGTGATGACTATCCGTCTTCCCTTTAGTCCTACACTGCTAAATTAGGGACGGCTAGCGCAGATAGCCCTCGTGTAGCTTTGCGCGAAATTCGAAAAACAAACAAACAATATTTAATGCCCAAGTCTTTGTCGTAAACGTATAGACGTTTTGGAGAAGCAGTTGTTTCTAATAAAATGATAAATTATAAAAGTGAAAACAGATCATTGGATGTGAACAGTAAAACTAATGTCCCGAATTTGCCATATTGGCCATAAATGTGTATGAACAACATAGTGAAACTTAAATTGTTTATTTTAACATATAATATTTTTAAAGAAAATGTTATGGTTTACACTCTTGTTGTTGTTGTTGTTGTTTTCTATGTTTTGTAGATGCTACTGCCCGAATGGAACACGGTGTGTAAGGACCACTGATGCATTGCTTATTTATTCTTTCGTCTACCACTGTCGCCCTCTATCGAGACCAGCTGAACATGTATGGCCAGAATACGAGGAGTAAATGTAATATTGAAGCTTAATATAAACTCTAAGCCTAAAGCAAAAGCATTTCCATTATACTCAGGATAAAATTATAACTGTTTACTCTAGCTTGTGTAGCTTAATATATCATTGTATATAGCGGACTTCCTT